AGCTTTTGGGGTCCTATTTTGCATGCATAGATTCTGTTTTTACTTGTCTTGATCGTGCCGTGAGTTGGTCATGTCATTGAAAGGTAAGTTGTCTCCTTTGTGTCTAGACTTTGGACCATGAATTTGCTTGTTAACATGAGTTGATTGCCTATCATTTTAAGCACTTTTGGTCACTGTTTTGAGGAGGGTAAGGGTCTGTCCCTTTGCCATTTTTAAGCCCTCTTGCATGCTTGCTCCATGTTTGTTGGATAGTTGTTCATTAAGCTTTGTGTAGCACATCGATCCATAGTCAATTTGGTCTATGTGCGCCATTTTTGTACCTTGTATGCTTGGCATTGTACATTTGTCATGTTGGTCGCCATAATGTTTATTGTGCTTTATATCTTGTGGCATGATGTATTGAGCCTTGTTGAAGCATTACATGCATTGCATTTACTTGGTTTGGGTGTCAAACTAAGTTCGGGAATCAAGGACCATTCATACTCCAAGTGATGCAATGCGCCTTGATTCCCGGTCATCGGGACCTTTGACTCTAACTTGATAAGCCTCGGTTTTTCATGTTGTTGTGTGCATGCATTTTCATATCAAAATGGCAAATTCGACCTTTGACTCATCACGTTACCATTGATGATTCAAGGATCGAAAGTCATGCTTCTCTTGAGTTCGAAATATGAATAGAAGTAGGACCATGCTTACATGTGTCCAAAAACTCCTACTATTGCACTGCCTGTCCTCTGTTTGCTGCTCAGATTGTCTGTTGCAGGAAGTTTCTTGCCGACCGGCAGAATTAGTGCACCAGGCACTATCTGGAGTGCGATGAACCCGATAAAGTGCCGACGGGAATTTTGGAGTGCCGGTGGCAATTCTGTCTGGCCGGTGGTGCTCTGTAGGAGGCAGAGAGCTTGTTCCAGCACTTGGAAATTTTTAGAAAAGACAAGGCATTACAAACAGAAGCGACAAGAGCATAGTACGGGTTTTTCCGGGCAGGACGGATTCGCAGCATGATCATCTGCGCGCCCCGAGGCAGAGCTGTGGCCACCCTCTTTATTCTTTTGCTTCCTTTTTTTAATTAATTAGGAAATTTTGTAATAATTTATATCGTTCATTATTTTGGGACTGTAATATATATCGAGCCCTCTGAGTGAGGGTAAACATGTAATAAGTGTGGGTGAGTGTGTGTATGTCTTCCAACCTCCCATTTCTTTCTTCCCTTTTATTTACCAGCTTATGATGGTAGATTAGGGCATGTTGAAATTTAGCATACCTTATATATGCATGCGTGCATTCATGCATCTGTTATATGCACCGGCTCGGACTCATGCTAAATCGCATTGTATTTCAAACTCAATTGAATACATGATTAGTTGTTGCAATCGTATTCCATATCTAGTTAACCGAGCCTAACTCTAAAATTGACCTTGTATGCGTTGCATTAGGCAAAAACATGAACTGGATCATGCATGTTTGCTAACTAGTTTAGTTTTGGCACGGATACATGTAAGTATTTTTGCTTTAGCATCCACATGCGTGTGAATGTTGCCATAATAGTATTCTGCCATGGGCTATGCTACATTGAGATTAAAACTGCTTGAATGCCTGTGGTGGAGGTCAAATCCTTAAATTGGATAATGCTTAAAACTGTGAATTTAAGCCACTAATAGTGGCAAAACATCTTTTCTAAAAAGCCCACTTGAGGGTGGCAAACCTGCATTTTAGCCTACTTTGAGTAGAAACCATTTTCAAAACAAACATGAAATGTTTTGTCCAATTTGGGGATTTGGTCTATACTTGTGCTGGCGCATAACATAGTAATTCTAGGCTAAACAAATGTAAAGAACACATAAAGTTTTCAAAAAGATATCACGGTTAGTAGAGGCCGTCTCGGACCGGGGAAGGGGTGCTCATAGTGACTTCCCCGATCGTACCCAAGTAGATTGGCCTCTACTAACCATGATATCAATTTTTGAAAACATTGTGAGGTTCTTATTCCGGTTATTAGCCTAGGTTACTATGTGATGCTCACAGCATATAAATATAGACCGGGTTGCCTTAATTGGAACGAAACATTTCATGTTTGTTTTTGAAAATGGTTTGCTACCCGCAGGTAGGCTTGAAACATTTTGATGATTCTAACTGCAGATATGGCATAGTAGAGCTAACTGTAAGGCAACATGATCAGCGATCATGGAGGGATGATTCGACTGTTAGAAATGCATTTCGCTAGTTGTCATTGAGAAGTATAAATAGCAGAAAATGACCCAGAAAGAGCCCCCAGACTCAGATCCAAAAAACCAGTTTTATCTAGTTTATTTTCCTTCTAGTCATACACATGATAAGGGATAGGTTTGGTGCATACATTGCTTGAATTGCATTGCCATGCTATGCCTTGCCCTCTGCTGCTGTCAATTGCAGATTCTGCAGGAACTTTCTGCCGACCGGCAGTGTTCAGTGTCAACCGGCAATCCTTCCTGGGCCGATAGCTTCACCAACAGCCGATGATTACACACCACAGCCGGTGATGATTCTACTCAGCCGGTGGTGCCTCCCAATGTCCAGGGAAGCAATTCTGAGACTTTGGCAGTCTTCCAAGAGGCAGTGCAGGGAAAACAGAGGCAGCTTATGCATAGCAGTACACTTCCGAGCAAGACCCGAGCACGCGCGCATCGAACCCTCTTCCATTTTATTGCTTTTCTTATGCTTAGTTAATTTGTTAATTAATTAGGTGATTTGTAATAATTAATTAGCTTGCGAGTTAGTTAATTCATTATTCGAATTGTATTATTCTTTTGGTCCCTCCGAGCGAGGGCGAATTTGTAATAAGTGTGGGTGAGTGTGTGCATGTCTTCCAACCCCCACTTCTTTCTTCCTTTCACTTACTTGCTTTCAATGGTTAGTATTAGGGCATATTTAAATTAGCATACCTTATGCTATGCATGCGTGCATCCATACATTTATCTTGCATGCACCGGGCTCGGCGCATCATGCTAACTGCATAAGTATTTCAAATCTAACTTGAATATGTGCATCAAATGGTTGCATCTCACGCCTACTCTAGTGACATTCCGTATGCGTTGCATTAGACATTTAAACATGGACTTGGATCATGCATTGATTGCTAACCCGTTTATTGTTTTGGCACGTAGTACGATGTAAGTATTTATGCTTTAGCATACCACATGCGTGTGAGTGTTGCCATAATAGCATGATTACCATGAGGCTAGCTACTTATGTGATATAACTGCTTGAATGCCTGTGGATGGAGGTCGAATTGCTTAAATTGGGATAATGCATTAAAACTGTGAATTTTAAGCCCACTAAATAGTGGCAAAACCATCTTTTCTAAAAGCCCACTTGAGGGTGGCAAAACCTGCATTTTAGCCTACTTGTGAGTAGTAAACCATTTTCAAAACAAACATGAAATGTTTTGTTCCAATTTAGGCGATTTGGTCTATACTTGTTTGCTGTGCGCATAACATAGTAATTCTAGGCTAATAACTGGAATATGAACACATAATGCTTTCAAAACAAGATATCACGGTTAGTAGAGGCCGATCTTTGATCGGGGGAGAGGGGGTGCTCATAGTTGACCTTCCCCAATCGTACCCAAGTTCCCGAGCCGAGGCAACTTTGGTGATGACGGACACGTGGCCTTTGGCACGAGTCAGGGTTTCCTAAATTCTCCCAAAATAAAATATTTATGTGGCGACTTTGTATCTGGCAAAGCAGCCCATGTTTGGCACTTCTTTCTAAAAATCAGTTTTCCAAAATGATTTGCCGGATTTGGGCTCTTTGGTGATTTTCAGATTAAGAACCGTGACACAAATCGAGTCCGAACTGTAGTGAGGCCCACAGGCGCGTCTACAGTAAAATACCTTGATCCACTAATATCACCAAGTATTGGGTATATTAGTGCGAGGGGTAATGTTGGCTACATATTTTGTATAAGTCAATCACAGTTCAACACATGGCAGAATGAGAGCAATATGGGAAGACAATTCAAATCTTCAACCGTAGTCACACACGTGGCAGTTAATATTGGTTATTGTAGATCTGTATAGGACTGGATCAGCAAAGAGATGCAAAATGACGTGGCTTCAACGGTTACTTATATTTAAATTCAAAATCCGAAGGGAAGCCTAACTGCAGATATGGCATAGTAGAGCTAACTGTAAGGCAACATGATCAGCGATCATGGAGGGATGATTCGACTGTTAGAAATGCATTTCGCTGGTTGTTATTGAGAAGTATAAATAGCAGAAAAGGCCCCAGAAAGAGCCCCCAGACTCAGATCCAAAAAACCAGTTTTATCTAGTTTATTTTCCTTCTAGTTTTTACATTTATTGTTCTTTACATTTCTGTACTTCAAATTCCTGCATTGCACTTCGTTCATAGGAGTAGTTTCAAGTAGTCTGTTGCTGTAAACCTCTACGAGGCTGATTTGGATCTTTGTAAGTCTTCAATTTTACTTAATGAAATGTTACAATTGTTCTTCATATTAATCGTTGTTTGCTTAATTCTCCTAAACAAAGCCACCAGTAAAAGTCCTCTTCATTGAGGCTAAAAGAACTAAAACACAATCATCTGATAATTGGTTGGCAATTAATATTTTGTAAGGACTAATTGATCCTTGCTGGCACGCTCAAAATTACAGTAATAACCTTCGAAAGCCAAAAAGCCAACATACAATCTGTTTACATGTTGCTCCTGTGTTGGGATGCACTATATTGTATTGTATGCTACTCTCTGCTACTTTTGAAAGAGCCATAATATGCTACTTTTGCTTCTTGTGATTCTGACCACTGTGGGTGTCCCATGTTTTTATATAATTTAGTTGAATTGTGGAGACCACTTACGTCTGTTTAATGTTAATAATTTGAAGTAGTTCCATACATTGGTTTATTCTAGAACAAACTTGTTTAGTAACTGATGGTTATATTTTAATTAATTTACTGCGTAATTGATCTATATTGGGTCATACATTCCAATGTGGGTGTTCTCTAATGTTATTGGATTGGGGCAGGTTGGAGGATGCAGGCTATGCTGTTGGTGCTAGGGTGTTGGAACTTCTTTTCCATCAGGAAAAGGTTTGGAACTCATGTGTGTTAGACACTATAACTTATTTCTGAGGTTTTGATGCTTGTTACAAGTTAATCCCCACAGTCATCAGCTAAAGTTGTACGATTTTGGGAGTGCAAAGATGTTGGTAGGTCTCTATTCATGGAATTTCATGTTTTTTAATGTGTGGCAATGTTTGAAATTTATTTTCCTGTTGTAGGTGCCTAGTGAACCCAACATAACATATATTTGCTCACGGTATTATAGGGCTCCAGAATTGATATTTGAGGCTACAGAGTACACAACTACAATTGATATGTGGTCTGTTGGTTGTGTTTTGGCCGAGCTACTTTTAGGCCAAGTGAGTGTATAGTTGAGTTTGTTTTCCAGAACATTGACAATCAGCACTTTTATTAAGCTTTAAATTTGATGTGAAAGATGCCACTTTACCCCACAAGAAATCAGGATAGGGACCTGTATGCAGTATACTACAGCACCCGTTAATGAAATATTTGCTTAGTAATAATTGGTTTTGATTACTATTTGTTGATTATTTATTCTCACACTTTTTGAATGTGGTATATGCATTTAGATGAATGCCTACCATGCTTCTTCAATTATACCCATTTGCATATCATTCTTTACGATATTTTTCTTCTGCATTGACCTTGCATTTCTTTCTGTAGCTTTATAACAATTTTCATTTTACTGTGCTTTTTTGAAATTTAGAAATTTGCTGATTAATTTATAGGGTTTGGGACTAAGCAGTATATATATATATATGTTATATAAAACCCACGTATAACCATAAGATTGTTGTTGCTAAACTTCATTTATTTCAGAACATGTTATGGGGTTGGTCCTGATACGTATTGAATGTGGTTTGATGTGCAGCCTCTGTTTCCTGGAGAAAGTGGGGTTGATCAGCTGGTAGAAATAACTAAGGTTCTAAGTAATTTATTTTTATAAACTTTTATATTCTAATATTTGTTTGGTGCATTCTCTTATTATTATTATTATTTTCTTGGGTGGTTCTGTTATAGATATTGGGGACACCAACCAGAGAGGAAATTAGATACATGAATCCAAATTACACGGAGTTCGAATTTCCTCAGATCAAAGCACACCCATGGCACAAGGTTTGTTAGAAATTCCACATGGAGGATGCATCTTTGACTCATCATCATTGATAATAAGCACATTACTTTCATGACAGCTAAACCTAATGAACTTACGTTTTCTAGGTTTTTAACAAGCGAATGCCAGCCGAAACTGTGGATCTTGTGTCGAGGTTGCTCCAATATTCACCAAATCTACGTTGCACTGCTGTAAGAAATTCGATCTTTGCTTATTATATATGAAATAGAAAAATCATTATATGTGGACATTTATTAAAAAGCTCATTGTCAATTTTTGTTTCAATTTATTAAAAAGCTCATTGTCAATCTACGTTGCACCAAATGTTTTTCATAGAAAAATGAAATGTGCAAGTAATGTCATTCTCTGATATCCTAATATAGAATTATTATATTATATTTTTAATAAGACATTAGCCAAATTGATAAGTTAATATTGTCTTATGATTTGTCTTTGTAATCAATAGATTATATTGTTATTTTGTTTTGAATCATACAAAATTTTCTGACCTTGTCAAAGAAATTGTAAAATGTTGTTTTGAAATTTGTCTTTTAATAAAAATCTATGACCTTTTCAGTTGGAGGCATGTGCACATCCTTTCTTTGATGATTTGAGGGAACCAACCACAAGCTTACCAAATGGTAGACCGCTCCCTTCTCTCTTCAATTTCACGCCTCAAGGTGAGTCAACTTAAATTTTCCTTCTTTTTTTTGGAGGGGGAAGGGGGGTTTGATGGTTCTCTTGTTGATCGTGGCGAAATTTCTTACAGAGCTGGCTGGACATTGCCTGGATTGCGTCAACGTCTTATTCCTGAGCATGTGAGGAAATGAATTTGTGCCAAGTAGCGGTGGTATCTGTAGGCAATGTAGATGGGTTTTTGGATGCTTAGGTATCTGCACTATGCCAAGTATTCCATGAGGCACCATTCTTTGGACTCCCAAAGTATATTTCTGATGAAACGCGGCCTTAGAGGGTTATGGGTTGCTTGTCAAGCCAGACTTTGACAAAGAAATGTGCGCCAGAATCATGATGTGCTTGGCTCTGTGGCTTTTTTGTTCTTTTCATCTACCGTTATAGATGAGTTGTCATGATTTTTTTATTTTTTTGTGTTTTTTGTATGTTTTAGTTATATGCATTTTGTATGCGTCCACACTTGCAATGGATACTACTAACAAAACTAGGCATGCTAGACAGGTTTAGATTGATGCCGTTCAATGTATGCTCTGTTCACTTTTGGTGTTATCAAAGAAATTTAACTGTATTGTCATTTACCTGTCATTTTATGTATGGGAATATTACACTTCATGTTGATATATCTCATGTGATTGCTGGTGGTGACACTCTTTTAAAGTTGTCATCTTTCAAAGTTGTCATCATACACAATTACAAAAAAGAATAAAAAAATAAAAAAAGAAGGGAGAATATGGCACAACCCAAACCCGCCCCTATGGGTTTAGCATCGTAACCGACCAGTAATCATTGGACTACCGAAGGCCTCTGAACAAATTAATAAGATTAAGGGGCTAACGGAAGCAAATACATAAATATAGTTGTCCAATGAGCTGTGCTGACTTATATGAAACGGAATATTTAAAAACTTTATATACATAATCAAAAGTCATTCATACATTATACCCACACACATTAAAGTATCTTAAGTACAGCCAACAGAACAACCGAGTCTTATATATACAGAAACAACAGAACATAAACACTAGACACTTCGGGAACCTCCACGTGAGGCACAATGGTTGGCTAACAACAGAACACAGATCCAGACAAAAGCCTTCAGGCTCGGGCTCCAGAATGCTCACCTATACATATATATACACACAATGAGCTAAAGCCCAATGAATAACATTAAGGTAAAGGAGTTAGTGAACGAAGTCTGAATATATCATAAGCAGAAAATAGACCAGAGCATAATCATTCTCATATCAGAACATAATAATGGTACATCCCATAGAACACATCACAGAACGTTTTCCGACTAGAGTAATCGGTTCCGGATACCTATTAAACACATATCACCACAATGAAATGGCTAACGAGATCTCGTAATTACTTGTATGTCATGGACCTGCATTTTCATGCTGTGCCCCATAACTTGGGACTATCTATGGATGCCATAATAGATTTCAAACATGGAATATTCGTTCATGAAAACAGATATCATTTCAGAAATCAGAACTTATCATATTCAGTTGAAACATAATTCATATGAACGTATCTTTACAATAACGTTACTCACAGTGGATCCAGTAAGCGGTCAATCAGTCATCGAGTCTTAACCTACAACCACAAAATACATAACACAAGCACATCTAATCATTACACATACAAGTGGCCATTAAGGCTTAGCTTTCATTACATTGGTTCTTATCCTTTCTTATCACAATGCCTAAAACACACACACTTGCAGTCTTGGAACTTGGTACCTTCTTTTCTTAGTGTGTTTCTAATCCATAACCTCATTACTAAGGCTTAATTAAGGCTTAGGAATGCCTAAGATGCAATGAGGATGCCAAAACATGCCTTGGAACACTTAGGCAAAATTTCTGAAAATAAGGTCCACGCTCGAGCGGACATGCAAAATGTGAATGGTCGCTCGAGCGCACATTCCTTCGCTCGAGCGATCTATAAAAGACATGAAACTCTGGGAGCTTGCAATTCACGTTCGAGCGGACTTTTGGTCGCTTGAGCGGAGTGCACGCACTCAGAGTGGTCGCTCGAGCGTGAACTCCCACGCTCGAGCGTAGATACAAATTCTGGAATTTCCAGATTGCACCTTCAAGCTCAAAACTCGAATTCCAACCTTCAAAACACATCTCTTGGACCCCAAAACTTGAGATAACATAGTAAACTTGTAAAACATGAAGAATTTAGGATCATTTCACAAAATCATGACCCAAGGGTTTGCCAAAAGTTCCCAATTTCAACTTAAACTTCAAAAATGTTTATGAACACAACATGCATGAATTTTTCTTGTATCAAACTTCTCAAAACATTGTCAAACACCACAAAACAACTTGAAACTTGATGATTTCCCAAAATGAAGATGAATTTCAAACATGCAAAAGAGGATTCATGGAAATCATGCTCAATTTGTAAGAAAATGTACATGCATGCATGGATTGCAACTCAAATCTTTATTCTAAGCTCAATACACATCAAACTCATAATCTTGAAGAAATTTCATGTTAAATGACTTAGTTACACAATCTAGAGGTTGTAATCTTACCTAGAGTCTTGAATTACTCTTGTTCTAGCACAATCTTTGATCAATTCAAGCTATAGCTTTCAATTTCTCTTTAATCTCTTCCTTTCTCTCTCTAGAATTGCACTCTCTCTCTCTCTCTCTAAAATGAATCTCCAGAATTTTTCACTCAAGAATGAGAGGAATGAGCTCAAATGAGCTTAAGGGCTCATATAGATAGTTATGATGCTAAAAGGCATTAATTAAAACATAAGGCTTGCCAAACGCAACTTAATGAATCGTTCTAAATCAATTTTTAATAAAACTTGTCATATGGTTCTAAAAATTCCAAATAACATATTGGTGTTGTTAATTTCGGTTTCGGATGCCGATAAGGCTTTCAATTTACATATTAAAGCGGAATTCCAAACAGATATTTCTACAAGTAACAGATAGTAAGCCAAATATCATGCAAATCACATAATGAACCCATAATTTATTTTATTCACTTAATTAACATCCTTAATTACCGATTAGTGGCTAATTACGGGTCGGGGTTATTACAGAATAACATTGATAGTTGGATTATTTAATATTTACAAAAAAGAATAAAAAAATAAAATTAAAAAAAAAAAGAAGAGAGAATAACATTGACTACAAATTTATTGATAGTTGGATTCATTAATATTAATAAATAAATAAATAACATTGACTAATTTTTTTTTTGATAATTGGATTCTTTAATAATTTTTTTTTAAAAAAAAAAAGGAAAAGAGAATAGCATTGAGTGAAAATTTATTTATTCTTTAGTTGGCATAAGTCTAAATTTGATAATAATGCAAAAAGGGTATTTGTGGAATTTCACAGGGTTAATCCTACCCCTATTTCTCAAAACAAATATGAACTATTACTTGTAACAACCCAGATTTTTAATTATTCTGTAGAATTTATACAATATTATTTAATCTCAGCTCGGAAAATATATAATTGATTATATATTATTATGCGTAATTTTATAAAGTAATATAATTTTTTAAAAAGTTTAGAGGTCAAAATATAAATAATAATATAGATAATATTAATAATAATAATAATAATGGGTGTGGTAATAAAATAAATAATTAATTTTCTGTTAGTATACGATAAAGTTTAATTTAATTAGAAATTAAATTATTTATATAATTATATTAAAATATTAGGTCAAAAAGACAATTATCTTAAATATCTATTAAGGATAAGAACGAATCTATATAATTAATTATAGAATTTGTGAAATGATTTGGGACTCGGCCACGTGTTGGCCTGCTGGTGGCGTCTTTTCCTCATAAATAGGAAGGAATGAACCAGTCTGCAGAAAAGAAAAGGAAGAGAAAGGAAGAGAAGATGGAAAGGAAAGGAAAAGAAAGGAAATAGAGGAAGAAGGAAAAAAATAATGGAAATTGAGAGAGTTTTTGATAGTAGAAAGAAAGGGTGAGGTATTAAAGTTAAGGTGAGTTATATTATACCTTGACTTATCAAAATGTATTTTACGTATATTTTAACTTACCAAAATCTGTTTTATACAAGTTATGTTTTTAATAAAAGTTATGTTTTATAAAAGTCTCAGTTATGTGGTTTATCTTCTGAATCCTATTTGCTCAAAAGAAAACCCATGGATATGTCTGTTTATATTTTAAAAAATATTTGATTATGACCTTATAAACAATTATGTTTGTAAGTAACACCACGGAGTCCCACGCCTTGGGGGACTTAAATAACTATTGACCTCCGTTTGACCACTTTGTGGTCCTCTGTCTGTCATGGATCCATTGACCTCTGTTTTGTGCGAAGCAAAGTGCTATGCGGAGCTAAGCGGAGCTAAGCGCTACACTATTGTGGGAGCCACCTCTAGAATCCGTACGAGCCACTTCTTGAATCTGTACCTCTGTTATGTGCGGACCAAAGTGTTGTGCAAAGATAAGTGCTACACTATTGTGAGAGCCACCTCTTGAATCCGTACCTCTGTTTTGACTGTCACTTCTATGACCTCTGTTCTGTTCTGTACCATGGTTATGGTTATCTATTTATATAATATTTGTATTTCAGTTTCTGCTACTCAAACGATTTATGTACCAAACTGAGTTATATAAATGTTTTGGCCTAATTAATTGTCCATGGTTATTTCGTGTCCTTTATACTCTTGGTATAATATTTCTCACTCTGCCATGTGCTTATAATTTTTTACCAATTTTCAGGAAACATGCAATTCAGAAATAGCTTCTGGAAAGTCTTAGACGCAGGGCTGCGGAATAGACACACACAACACTTTTATGATATTTTTATATGTAAATATCGGCCTTTTTTGTCAATATATTTTGTAATAAAAATAGAAACTCTAATGATTATTTTGATACCCTTACTTAAATATTTCTTCCGCTTGCGTTTATTAATTTGTTTATGAATTGGCCGTAGGTAACTCAGTTACTGGCCATCACGATACTTAACCCTTGGGTACGGGGAGCGGGTCGTGACATTACTAGTCCATTGGTTATCAAACAAACACAATTTTCTTAATCCCCTTACTATTAATCCCCTCACTAACAGTCCCCTCACTAATTATCCCCTCCACTCTACCTTTGAAAACAAATGGGGCCT